CCCCCATCCACCACCATCCAAACCCATTCACCCCCATCCATCCACCATAGACCCCCAATGCACCACCCATTACACCCCCCATCCACCATTCCATACACCCCCCATCCACCATCCATTCGACACCCACCATCCACCATCCATACACCCCCATCCACCATCCAACACCCCCATCCCAATCCACTTCGACACCACCATCACCATCCATACATCCCATCCACCATCCATTTACACCCCATCCCCACCCATTACACCCCCCATCACACCATCCAACACCCCCATCCACCATCCATATCACCCCCCTCACCACCCATACACCCCCATTCCACCAATCATACCCCCCATTCACCATTCCATTCGCACACCAACACCGCGCCGTCCCAACACCCGACATCCGGCCTCCAGCAATCGTAGTAAATCCGGAACAAGCGGCGAGATCAAAGAAGAATCGTGTCTTTCTTTAGCGGCGGGGCATTCCGTAACATAAGTCAGTCGGCATAATCAGACATCGGCGGCGGCGACGACGACTTTACTCCCAGAGTTCACTCACCGCGAAACACGCCGATACAGCGCCACCACACCCCCTCCCCTCCCTCGCCCCCTCCCTCACCTCCCTCCCCCTAAAAGATACCGCTAGTATAAGGTCGCCAACACCGTGGTTTTTTTTCACGTTATTTTATAATATTTTTACGCCAGAATTTCAACACCGCCAACAACACGCCGAACACCAGCGCCACCTCACCCTCCCGACTCTCCCCCTCCCTCTCTTTTCCCATACTCCCCTCCCTCCCCTAAAACATATACGCCTATTGTATAAGGTCGGCAACACCGTTGGTTTTTTTTCACGTTCATTTTATAATATTTTTTTGACGCCATGAATTTCACCACACCGCCAACCAACACGCCGAAACCAGCGCCACCACCACCCCTGACCTCTCCCCCTCCCTCTCCTTTTCCCTACTCCCCCTCTCCCTCTTCTTTTCTCCCCCTCCCTCCCCTCCCTCTTCTCTTCTCCCCCTCCCTCCACAATATTTCTGCAGTGAAAGGTCGCCAACACGTTTGGTTATTATTTTACGTTTCCTTACGTTGTTTTTACATTATTTTTTTAATTTTAGTTTGAATAGGATATGTTTTTTGAAAACGACAGAGCCTCAAGCGCAAATATCTTGTTTACTCGACAAGAGAACGTCTTCTCACATCCGAATATAGCGGGCCAATAGACTTACTTCCCGATATAGCAAAGCCTAGCAGGCAAACTCACTTACTAGCAGAACTAGATGTAGTAGCTAGGTCAAACCCTGAATTCCTATTACATATCTAACCGTAATAAATAAACTGACTACATAATTGAGAAAAATAACATAGCTAAATCTAGCACTTAAACTTACTTCCTAACATAGACAGTACAGAGGTAGCACATTACCTTGCTTTCTAAAATAGCTACATCTAGAAAGTAAACTATCTCCCTAACATAGCTCAACCAAGCAAGTAAACTTAATTCATAACATAGGTAAACCTAACAAGTAAACTTACTTCCTTCCAGCAAGTAAACCAACTTTCGAACACAGCTACATTAAGCAGAACACAACACTTGCATTATCAGTCGCATTAAGTTAGTTATCCTATAGTACAGCACAGGCACTTGGGACAGAGTCACCTAAAAACTGAAAATACTATGAACGCACATTCACTAATACTATACCCCTCAATTTCACTTCCACTGTTGTGTGACTGTACGTATATCAAATTTCTTTCACAAAATCGAATGCAGAACGCTCCTGCACTCGTCGCTGCGAGTGTGCTGTGTCGCCATTATAATGAATATATATAGAAGCTCTATAGAGGCTATAGAAGCTATAGAGGCTCTATAGACCCTCTCTATATATATTCATTATAATGGCGACACAGCACACTCGCAGCGGCGAGTGCGGGAGCGTTCTGCATTAGTTTTTGTGAAAGAAAGTTGATATACGTACAGTGACACAACAGTGGAAGTGTAATTGAGAGGTACGGTAGTATTTGTGAATGTGCGTTCATATTATTTTCAGTTTTTACTGACTCTGTCCCAAGTGCTTGTGTAGTACAAGGGAAGGCATCAACCGCTGTCACCCCCCCCCCTCCCAATGACGTCCCCGCGCGTATATATCAACAGAGGGATGTTTGCTCACAATTAGGCTCAGCTAGCGTGAGAGAGAAAAAACGTAAAACAAAACGCGAGTGTGTCCTCAGTGTAAAACCAACACGCATGTCGCTACTTATCTTATGGTTAGCGCGATTTTTGTCGCGTAATAGGTTGACGCGTGCGTGCCGAAAGCGTTAAACACGAACGCGAAGTAAAGCCATGTTGATGACGTCAGCGTGCGTGCCGAAAGCAGGCGTTATGACCGGAACCGAGTAAAGCCATGGTGATGACGTCAAGCTGGTGACATTAGCAGTGGTTCTACTGCGGTAAGAGTAAAGCTGTGTTGATGACGTCAGCTGGTGACATTAGCAGTGGTTACTGCGGTAAGAGTAAAGCTGTGTTGATGACGTCAGCTGGTGACATTAGCAGTGGTTATGCGGTGTAAGAGTAAAGCTGTGTTGATGACGTCAGCTGGTGACATTAGCAGTGTTAGTGCCGGGTAAGAGTAAAGCTGTGTTGATGACGTCAGCTGGTGCATTAGCAGGGTTAGTGCGGGTAAGAGTAAAGCGTGTTGATGACGTCAGCTTGGTCACTTAGCATGGTTTAGTGCGGTAAGAGTAAAGCTGTGTTGATGACGTCAGCTGGTGACATTAGCAGTGGTTATGCGGTAAGAGTAAAGTGCACGTGTTGATGACGTCAGCTGGTACATTAGCAGCTGGTTATGCGGTAGAGTAAAGCGCGTGTTGATGACGTCCAGCTGGTGACATTAGCAGTGGTTACTGCGGTAAGAGTAAGCCGTGTTGATGACGTCAGCTGGTGACATTAGCAGTGGTTAGCTGCGTAAGAGTAAAGCTGTGTTGATGACGTCAGCTGGTGACATTAGCCAGTGGTTGATGCGGTAAGAGTAAAGCTGTGTTGATGACGTCATGCTGGTGACATTAGCAGTGGTTAGTGCGGTAAGAGTAAAGCTGTGTTGATGACGTCAGCTGGTGACATTAGCAGTGGTTAGTGCGGTAAGAGTAAAGCTGTGTTGATGACGTCAGCTGGTGACATTAGCAGTGGTTAGTGCGGTAGAATAAAGCTGTGTTGATGACGTCAAGCTGGTGACATTAGCAGTGGTTATGCGGTAAGAGTAAAGCTGTGTTGATGACGTCAGCTGGTGACATTAGCAGTGGTTATGCGGTAAGAGTAAAGCTGCGTTGATGACGTCAGCTGGTGACATTAGCAGTGGTTACTGCGTAAGAGTAAAGCTGTGTTGATGACGTCAGCTGTTGACATTAGCAGTGTTACTGCGGTAAGAATAAAGCTGTGTGATGACGTCAGCTGCGTGACATTAGCAGTGGTTACTGCGGTAAGAGTAAAAGCTGTGTTGATGACGTCAGCTGTGACATTAGCAGTGGTTACTGCGGTAAGAATAAAGCTGTTGTTGATTGACGTCAGCTCTGTGACATTAGCAGTGGTTACTGCGGTAAGAGTAAAGCTGGTTGATGACGTCAGCTGGGACAATTAGCAGTGGTTACTGCCGGTAAGAATAAAGCTTGTTGATGACGTCAGCTGTGACATTAGCAGTGGTTACTGCGGTAAGAGTAAAGCTGTGTTGATGACGTCAGCTGGTGACATTAGCAGTGGTTACTGCGGTAAGAGTTAAAGCCGTGCGTGATGACGTCAGCGGGGACATTAGCAGTGGTTAACTGCCCGTAAGATAACAGCTGCTGTTGATGACGTTCAGCTGGGGAACAATTAGCAGTGGTTTACTGCGGTAAGAGTTAAAGCTGTGTTTGATGGACGTCAGCTTGTGACATTAGCAGTGGTTACTCGCCCCGTCTAGAATAAAGCTACTCCTCACAGCTCACTGCCCTTCTATCCTATACGACCCAGCCTCTCTCTCTCTTTCTCTCTCTCTCTCTTCCTCTCTCTCTCTCTGTCTCTTTCTCTCTCTCTCACTCTCTCCCGCTCTCTTGTTTCTCTCTCACACAAACACACACACACGCACACACGCACACATTAAACACACACACACACGCGCGCGCGCACACACACGCAAACACATGGGCGTGCATCCCCTGCGCAGGTGAGAGCACTTTTAGCGCACCGTCAACACTCCTGCCTCCGCAGCAGCCTTAGCAGCAGCATCAGCATCAGCAGCAGCCTCAGCAGCAGCATCAGCATCAGCAGCAGCATCAGCATCAGCATCAGCATCAGCATCAGCATCAGCATCAGCATCAGCATCAGCATCAGCATCAGCATCAGCATCAGCATCAGCAGCAGCATCAGCATCCCGCAGCATCAGCATCTCGCAGCATCCTCCTCATTAGCTGAGGACGCTGCGGCAGGCACGCATCATTTCAACTGCTATGTAGCGTATTTGTAGCGTAACTTTACAAATTACTATGATCTAGTGACAGTGTTGATTACATGTCTATTGTGCATGTGTACGAGCGGACAACGCAAACAACAACAACAACAACAACGACAACGACAGCAGCAGCAGCAGCAACAACAACAACAACAACAACAACAACAACAGCAGCAACAGCAGCAGCAGCAGCAGCAGCAGCAACAACAACAACAACAACAACAACAACAACGACAACGACAGCAGCAACAACAGCAGCAACAACAACAACAACAACGACGACGACAGCAACAGTAGCAGTCACCACCAGCAGCAGCAGCAACAGCAGCGGCAGCAGCAGCAATAACAACAACAACTACTACTACTACTACTACTACTACAGCGACAACAACAACATCATCATCATCAGCAGCAGCGGCGGCGGCAGCGGCAGCTTCAACATCACTCAGCTCCGCCTCACCGCGTGACCCCTACCCTCCTGACCTTTACCCCTTGACCCCCAACCCCCTCCACACCTCTCGCAGCATGGCCACGAACAACGACTCGGCGTGGATGGACGACGACTGTCTCTACCACCTTCCCTCCTCCTCCGCCTCCTTCGGCCCTCGCAGCTTCAATATCGCTCAACTCCTTCTCTCTCTACCGATCATCGTTGGAAACACCGTCGTCATAGCAACCATCCGCCGCTCGCCTTCGCTCCACACCGTCCCCTACGTCTTCATCTGCCACCTGGCGGCTGCCGACCTCTGCGTCGGCGTCGTGCTGTTCGTGCACGCCGTCGCCTTTCTGTCGACGACGACGCCGTACGGCTGCGCCATCTGGTGGTGTGCTCTGCATCAGAACGTTAAGCTGTGTGCGCTGCTCGCTTCGTCTCTGCTGTACGGCGCCGTCAACGTGGAGAGATACGTCGCCATCGTACTTCCGCTGCACGCCGACCGACTGCTTCCGCGGCGACGCGTGCGCCACCTACTGGCCGTCGTCTGGTGCGCGGTGGCGCTGGTGTTTGTCGCCGGAAGCGCCGTGTACGTGCGCGCCGGCAGAACGGGATTCCAGTGCGTCGCCGAGTTCCGAGGCGACTACTTCCGGTTCTGGTCGGCGACGGCCGGCGTTACGACGACGACGACGCTCGCCGTCATCTTCTTCTGCTACGCGCGCATCGTCGCCACGGCGCGGCGCCACCGTCGCGCAATCGCCGCCGTGACGTCACACGTGACGTCACAGAACACCGCCGGAAGCGGAAGGCAGACGGACTTCTCGCACGGGATTTTAATCGTGAAGGTGTTGGCGATGACGATTGGTCTCACGTTGCTGTTCTGGCTTCCGGCGACCGCAGCCTTCCTGGTGGGGACCGTGTGCGGAGAGAGGTGCGGTTTGACGCCTAACAACTATCAGTGGGCAACTCTGAGCTGTTTTACTAACTCTATACTCAATATCTTTGTCTACAGCTATAAGCTAGATGAGTTCAGACATGCCGTGCGGAAACTGTGGTGCTCTTGAGAGAGAGGCAGACATAGAGAGAGAGAGAGAGAGAGAGAGAGAGAGAGAGAGAGAGCGGGCGAGAGAGAGAGACAGAGAGAGAGAG